ACAGAAATGGGACACATAACTGAGAGTGCGCCTTTTAGTCCGGTGCGCCTTATGGTCGTGAAAATACGGTAACCTTTATAAAATGGTTTAGACTCCGTTTATTAATCAATCCAACATTTATAAACTGTTAATAACTGATCTCTTTACCATTTATAAATGGTCATGATGATCTTTTTTTAAGTGTAAACATTTTTCTTAGATTAGGTTTCATTGTTTAAGAATGATCTGCCATCTTGCTGCATTATTTTGTCCTGGCCTGTGTTTTTTTTCTTCATGAACGTTATTGTACTATTAGTATTTCTACCGACCCAACTATATGTGACCCTGCCTATGAAAACCCAGCTAAAGTCATTTTTTGGTGAATCTCAACTTAATGTATAAAACCATTCTTAACATTGTGTAGAATGGTTTTATACATTAAGTTGAGATTCACCAAAAAATGACTTTAGCTGGGTTTTCATAGGCAGGGTCACATATATACATGCTAACAGAGTTTCTCTCCATCCTCTGCTATTGTACAAATCCTTCTTTGGGCGTCATTATTCACAGATATTTTCGTTTGTCAGTTTTTACCTGATTTTTAAGAAGTACTATAAAAGATGCAAAAAATCTGGTTGCAGATGAGTTTGAGATTTGGAAAATTGCTTTGCACCTGGTAAAATCAGCATATCATCCAACCATGAATTTGTGCAGTTTGGTCATTAGAAGAATTATGTGAATATTGATGGAGGCCTCCAATAAAAGGTTTGCAGACAATTTCTGCTTAATTGCACACGGACTTCACAGGATCTCTGAAAATCTGCTCTGTTCAAACAGGTTTGCTCAACCTTCTGAAGATCAGTCCCTAACACAGCGTAGGGCCTAGGGCGCCATTACTTTCTGACCCCCAGATGTTTTTGTGCCAGTCACCAGATTTCAATGATACAGATAATGTTTTTATTCAATAGACTACAACTAAATGTAGGTTCCTTGTTTACTTTTTACGGTTGAATACAGTTAAATAAATTATTTCTAATCTGGTCCTTTACCTACATTTAACTGGAATTTAAAATGATGTTGTTGGTCTTTTGGATTCTGACTCTTGTACATCAAAACATGTTAATGCTTCTATCAAACAACCTGATAAGTTAAACTTTGAATATGAAACATTCTGCTCCTGCAAGAAGTATTGGTGTTGTTTTTGCTTTTAGTTATTTAATTTTGATTTTTTTCCTCATCTAAGATAACAAACATCAGTATCAGAGTCAGTTTTTCAGTCAGCGAGGCAGCTGTGGACTGCAAAGTAAGCTAGGAGCTTTTTTCTTGTATTTCATAGTGGTATTAATAATAAAAGGTGGTTCTAAAACTAGAAAACCCAATTTAACACTGGGTATTTCAACCCAGTATTATGATCAACACCTGTGGGACAACAGTGGCCAGGGGGATTTGGCTCCATCCAGTCAGTCTGGGCTGCCTGTTCCCACTCCCACTCTTTCTCTCTCTTTTTTTAATATCTTTAAATAGTACTGATAGTATTTTAAAATATTCATAATATTTAAAACTTAAAAGATTAGGCATTTAATAAGAATTTTTTTTTTTCCCTCATAGTGGTAGACAAGAATGGTATTTATTTTCTGTTTTCTGTCCTTTGGTTTTTAAATACGGTAGTAGATACTGGGGAATATGCATTAGCTTAATTTAATATGACCAAAGTCATAATTATAGTAATAGTGGCATTATTTTTATATTTTTCGTAATTATTGTTATTATTTTTGATGATGCCAAATAAATCCTAACCTGGATAACATACCCAAGCTTCTTGCACAGTAGTTTAGTGTCTGGAAGTCCAGGATCAATTGTTAGATATACTACTAACCTTGTGTACACTTGACTATGTGAGTGTAGGCTTATGCAACATAAGCTGAAGATAATTATTATAGCAAATTCTGTTTAAGAGTTCCTGGTATTATAATCTGCTAAATGTTTTGGACTTAGGCCACAAAAGCTGCTATCCTCATGTGAAGTGGTGTATATAATAATATATTGTTTTGTCAAAAACATGTTGACACTAAGTTTATTTTAAGATTGCACAAAAATGTTTTAGAGGATTTAATTTTTGTCCTTTAAAATCCTTTGATAAAGGGCTCTTTGTGCAGAAAATGGAAAGTGGACTCAGTGAGTTCCTAAAAGTACAGCCTTCAGAGGAAGAGAGGAATGCAGAGCGACCTACAGGTCAGGTTCATGAAAGTACCAGGTGCTAAAACCCATAATCTGAGGTTGGCTTGTTTTGTTTTTCTCTTCTAAACACAGTGTCCACCGCTACAGCCTCCACCTCTTCTCTTGAAATTTGAATAGCAAGTTAGCACCTGCTTCAGACATACACTCACTAACAAACACGCATGCTATGCGTCAGAAGGCATTTCTTCGATTACTGAGGGGAGGAACATTACATTAAGAACAGGATCTGTGACATTGCTCCTTTTTGTTGGCAGCAAAAATCATCAGACCCAGACGCTCGTCGCGGCGCTGCCTTTGTTTCGCTGAGGATTTTTTGACTGGGCAGCAAATTTACTTGTCATCTCTCTGCAAAGTGAAGGCCTCTTTGATGAGAGGGCGTGGGAGTGTGCTGACAGTAAGTCACATAGAAGACATGCTTGGCTTGTTTGAGCGGCTCACATGCTTTTTTTTAATAATTTGATATCTTCTTCAAGATAATTAAGTAGTAGTGAGGTTCTCCGTCTGGTATTAACTTGACACTTTGTTTAATTGACAAGTGAAACTTAACAAACAAGCTTCAAAAGCGTCTTAGCGTGTCTGCAGAAAGAACAAAAGTCTAGACCGAGACAATATTTGTAAAGTGGCTGGAGCTCTCTGCCTTTATAACTCAAACATCCGCCCTCAAATTTACTCAGTGCAGAAGTTCAATGTACATAGATATAGTAAATGAAAATTCACAGACATGGTACTTTAAATTCAAAGCAGGTGTACACATTTCACACAATATTAGGGTTTTTTGTCCAGATTTAGCTGTAAACCGCTTCGGGTTACATCAGTTCAGATCATCTTTGGTTCAATAGCTTCAATTAAAATTAACTTTTTATGCTTACAGTTCAACTTGATCCTGTTCATTTCAGTTGAAGTATTCCAATTCTGTTTAGTTCCAGTCTGTTTACTGCTCTGTTTTTAAATACTCTAGAGGCCACAGGTAATCCTGCAAAGTTAGACAGTTAACCTGTTAGAAAAATATAAAACCATATATAAAATGATTAGAAAGGATTAGATTAAAGAATCAAGTTTTTATCATCTCTTTTAAATTTTGTTCAAAGATTCAGTGTACAGATTTGGAAAACGTAAGGAATATAAATAATTTTAATTTTTTTTGATAAACTGAACATTTTGAATACTTTTTTTTAACTTTTCAGTTTAAACATCCAGGTGTGGCATCGCCCTTCTTAAAAAAATCTTAAAAATCATCCCCTTTCTTAAATAGCCATCCTCCCATTCCATGCCCTGTGAAATTTTATCACTGAACCTGTAAATTTCCATTATATATATTAACAGAAAATGGCAATAATATTGCCTTTTCAACATTTGGTAGGCTGTGCACTTATGAGTAGCGCACAGCCTACCCTGTTCTGAACAGCATAGCAATCAAGTGGCAAAGAAAAAGTGATTTGAGGGACTTTGAAAATAAGAAGGGGAGGGAATCTTCCGCAGGTTCCGGGTTCTAAGTTGCCAAGATCTCCCTCCCCTGCTCAGTTTGAGAAATAGTGTGTTTACAATTATGCAAGTTTCTTCACATACTCATACCTGTTCTCTGTGATTGTGGTATGAATTTCATAAGTCTTGGACAATGAATGGGGAAAATAAGGAGGGGAGGGAATCTTCGGCATGTTCTAAGTTTAACAAATAAAGTGTCAGAAATTATCTAGAATACAACTCGACTACAGTCAACATCCACTGTATGATTTGACCCATAAATATCAGTACAATATGAACAACTCTTGAACAGAAATATTGTAACTCTATAATGACATCAAGAGGTATTGGAAATGTTGGAAATGTTTTCTACCTCTACATGCAGTGAAGTGTTTTAACCATTCTCTGCACTGCCACTAGAGTCTATTTTAATATTTAGTACAGCAGGAGTATAAAATACTGCAAACTGTGTCTGCAGCCTTCCATGCGTCTCATTTCCAAACATAGAGATACCAAGCTTAGACCAGCCTAATGTGGGATGCGCACATCTAGGTGTTAAATCTTCAAATCAAATTTTGAAGGGATGTCCTCTGCAGTTTGTGAATGGCCGGAACGCGTTTCTCTTTAATAAACTGGTCTAAAAAAATATGCAACATCTTAAAACAATTTCCACTTAAGACCATTGAATAACAGCTCAAATTTTCATTATTCACTTTCTGTGTTTTTTATGTTTGCAAAGCTCAAAAAATTAACACGAACTGTAGATCATATTAGCAAAATATAATTTGGTCATTCATAGGTCAAAAAGTTCAGATGTTACAGTCACTTTAATAGCAACAGGTGAATGCAATATTCCCAGGCATTATAAAAATATCCTCACCAATAAATATAGTACAGTCAAGTGTAACTTTCTGCATAGTCAGTAGATACACACCTGAACTTTACATCACCAATGGCAATGCAAAGCAGCATGCAGTGATGTAAAGCATGCTGCACGCAGTTTAGAGCACAGAACTCTACTACTCTACTGGACTTTTAAGGATTGGAAACTGTCCTGTGCTGTAAAGAATCATACTGGGAATTAGTTATGTCAGAGGTTGGTAGTTGATTGGACTGTTCAGTGCCAAATGTAAAGTATTGTAGGGGATTATTATGTGGAGCTTCTTTTAGGGCTTTTGTGAAAGTAGCTCTTTCTGCTGCATCATACAATGTGGACATTTTTCTACTCTTTATCCTTTGAGAACAGTGTGTGAATGGGCCTGCTGTTCTAAGATGACTGTCCACCAGTAGCCTGACCAGCCAGACTGATATGTTGTGTACTCGACATGTCAGTCTGGTAAAAAGCTGGTAAAAACTTCACAATAAATCAAAGAGGTGAGCTCTGTTTTTTGAGTTTTTAAATGTCCTGCAGGAGGCATATGCTTTGAAATCCACCGTTTTAAGGTGCATTCACACGAATGCATTCTGGGCGTCATATCATCTAAATTACATGTAAAGTCTATGGGGGATGGCATAAAGCAGTGTTAAGAGGTACTGTGGTGTCCCAGTGGGAAATTACTTCTCTGCATTTAACCTATCCCCTTGGGGAGCAGTGGGCTGCCATTGTGCAGCACCCAGGGAGCAGTGTGGGGTTAAGGGTCTTGCTCAGGGAGCCAGAGTGGCAGTCTGTGGGATCAAACTCAAAACCTCAGGATTCAAAGCCCAATTCAATGCCTAACCACTAGGCCACCACTCCCAGGCCGAAAGGGAAAGACAGGAGCCACTCATTCCCCCCAGTGGAGATTCAAACTAGGGCCTCCTGTGTGCAAGTCAAGTGTCTTACCACTTGAGCTACCCAGACAGCAGGGGTAATATTAATAATCTAGTTTGTTGCACCTAACTGGGTACTATAGGCTTCTGTTATCAGTGGTTTAAACAGCCTGTGTCTTTTTACAGCTTTATGTGTTGAACTTCTAAGCTGTAGTTAAATAAAGGTGATGGTTACAATAGAGACTGATGTATTAATGAGTTTTTGATTACAAGGAGCAAAATACATGTGTTCATTTGGAGAGCTATAAAAATGACTGATTTAACTCTTACTGTAATAATTATATGTTAGATGCTACAAAACAGAAACATTTTAAAGCATGCAACATGGTTTATGTACTGTATCTCTGTAAGTTTTATCTGAGATCAACTGATACTAAACATCATTTTATGTAAAATCAGCTTCTATTTATGCAGTTTTAATTTGTTGCAACTTGCATGACATATGAAAGTATTTTTCCTTTCTATGTTGCCCTTTGATCTGTTTTGTTTGCATACGTAAAGCCTGAGTGGAACACACCTCTGGCTAAACCAAACATTCATTCCAGAACATCTTTTACGGTTTATTATTCTATGGTTGCAGTGAGACTCTGCAGGGCACCTTTGCCTGCTGGCTGTTTAAGAAAGATATGGAAATGTATGTAAAGTCCCAAGAACAAACATGTAATGAGACTCCATTTAAAGGCATTTCTTTTAGCACTGTTTGAGTCACATCATTCTAGTTAAAGAAACAATCTTTGACCCACACTGTCTGGCAGACACACTATTTTTTCCAAGCCAGTCTTTACAAACCTTAAGCAAGAGCTAAGTAGGACCAAAGGTCTGGGGCACAGACTGATGTTAGTTATGGTATGTTTAAATCCACAGTGGTCTTTTGACTGTTTTTCCCTGAGCAACCCCTTTGCAGCTTTTGCTGCTGCCTGTTTTGAAAGCAGCTCTGTAATCCTGGATCATAGAGCACAAAGGGCCCTAGAGTGTTGGAGAGGTAGGCACTGCATCCAGGGCTTACCCCATGACTCTCCTCAGTCCCACATCCTGCCAGACTAGTGAGGTGGGGCAGGGAGGAAAAGCGCTGTTGTGACTGACCCTGGTCACAGACTTTGTGATACGAACAGCTTTAACAATCGGCTGACGATGCCCTTGGATACAGGGGATAATAGAAAGTGTTGACTACCTCTTTGTAAAGAAATATTGTTAATGTGTTGGAATTCCAGGACTACTTTGGTGTGACCAGGAGAACTACTCAACTAAAACAGCTTTGCCTCCTTTTTGAAGGGCCACGTCGATTCAGGTGAGTATCAGTGGGTAAACATTTACCTTGTAAACACCTTTGTCAGCATGTGATTTCATGTGGGAGGCATAGTGTTTGCTGTGAAAGTTATAAACCTCATATTACTGTATATGTGGCTCCACCAGTTCTGTTCGGCCTCAGTGTTTTGGCCGTCACAGGTGCTGCATTTCACTTTGTGAACATAACTGCTGTGTGGGACAGTAAACATTTGAACGCCTTCTATCAAAGGTATCCATGGACTTGTTACAGGACTCCAGCCAAAGCATGTGGGACTTGAATGCTCGACTGAAGAACTTCATGGAGCAGGTGAACGGGCTGCAGGAGGCCAATCGCCAGCTTGAGGCTCAGATAGTCGAGTGGAGTTTCAGGAGCGCCTCACGCACCCAGAACTGGTCCAAGCAAGAGCAGACTGTGAAGGAGCTCCGTTCCCAGGTCAGAGATTTGAGATAATATAAGTAATCAGTGACTATAAAGAACAACAGAAACCACAGAGAATTAGATGTCACTCTTCAGGCCGTTCAGAGGAAAACCACTTTCCATTACATCAGCTTAAACTGCGTTTCAGATTTAGCAGCAGCGGCTAAGACTTAATATAGTCTCTCAATTTTAAGATAGCTTCACATGCAATGTTGTTAAAATTCTTTATTGAATACATTTTTATGCTTTTTTTGCTACTTTATACCACAACTATTGAACATGACAGGATTTTTTCAGCTGATATATTCATCATAGAAGCATTAAGCCGAGGCAACATGAAAGCTCAGCTCATTCCACCGCTATGGAGAAACTAGTCCCATGCATTTCACTTGAATTCATGGTTGTTGGTTTTAAATGGTAAGTTTTAGCAGGCTTGTCTTATCAAGAACATCCAGGTGCATTTCTTCATTTATATTTTTCTGTAATCCTGGAATGGTCTAATATGGAGTGATAGGAAGGACCATTCTTTTAAAAACAATGCCTGCACTGATAACCTAATATCTGAATTTGTGTGACTAGAGCTATTAAACCTAAACTTAAGATTATATAGTATGTTTTGATGTTTGTATACTTCTTAAAATAGCTATATGTCTATATATATATATATTGCACATTTTGCCCATTTGACATTTAGTATCAGTGGTGGATGACCTAAGCCCAAAAAGTAGAAACCCTGCCTAATTTTCCTTAGGATTAGACCTCCTGTCTTTGTTTTGGAGCTGTAAATGCAAATGGCTGGAACTAGTCTATACAAGCTTTTTAATTTTTTCGGACCTTGATTTTCCGACTCCTTGTCAGAAATAAACCTCCATCAAATAGAATCTGGTGTATAGAATTACAAGCACATGTCTGTGGCATTTTTCCTGGCCAGGAGCCAGATAGCCAGAGGGCAGCGGAGTGGAACAGTCTGTCACACAAGAAGAAATGTTGTGGGAATGTTACACAGTTTGAGGGCTGTCTGATTCTGGGGTACATTAACTAACTGGTGTATCAGGTGAAACAGTGTCACATGACCAAAAGTTATGGATTTACCTCTTTTTTATTATTATTATTATTTTTGTTTTAAACTTCTTAGTATGTGTCATAATCTTAAAAGATTTCTTAATATCTTCCTTATTTCTGAACTCTACCTCACTTACAAAGTTTGACACATCGTTCCATGACACCATTTTCTAATTATCTTTTTTTGTAACAGCACAATCCTAAAGATGAGTAGTCAACCTGAAAGACAAGAAGGTGATCACTCACCTTTTATGGCCTAAAATGATACTCTTATAATCACAGCAGAATGATGTTTATAGTCAAGTCTGGGAATATTCCATGCTATCATGGAGTTTTCTTTCAGTTTGGGGTGTGTTTCTCACTTTGTATGTATGAAAAGATAAAAAAGAAATAAGGGTGTGATAAATGTTTGATGTGTGAGCCAAAAAACAACAAATTTTCTCTTTCATTTCCCCCCAGGCACTTGAGTGTTTTTGTTCCGCCTTTAAAGTGCTTTTTAAACATATTAATCACCATGAATTCACTTCAAATTGACAGTAACATATGTTCATAGCAAATATCACTCGGTTTTCAAAAGTGCATTACCTTGCAAAGTCATCCATTTATGTCACAAACTTATTCAAACAAACATGACCTGGGATAAGATTTATAAACTCTGAATAAATAAGAGGGACAAAGAGTATCATATCTTCAACAAGCAAGTTTCTGTTTTAAATGAGAATTCTTAGAAATAATCCCACCTGAATATTCAAACCACAACCGCATATTACTGTAACTGTCATTGCTTTACAGAAAGTAGCTATGAACTGGGTTTGAATTTTAAGTTGTTTATTAGTGTTTTTTTGAACAGGTATTAGTAGTAGCAATTAAGATTTTCTTGGTCTTGAGTACCACCCTGGAGCTTTTTAAGGAACGTTTCTAGTTAATACGAAGTCCCAATTTGATTATGCAGTCTTTTGCACCTGTTATTAATGACAGCAACAGTTTTTTTGTCCCAACATGAATTTTTGCATGACAGCCATATTATGCTGTTCTAGTGGCGATATTTGCCATTAATCTTCTTACATGCGTCCACTTAAACTGACTGTTTGGTTAATTTGGCTCTCTTGTTCTGCTTGTTGTCGGCTTCCTAAAAAAAAAAAAAGAAAAGAAACACCAAATACATCTATACTGACCTGCAGAACTTATTTTGCTGCAGATATTGTTCTGATGTATAAGAATGTCGAATGAAAAAGTTTGGGTGTTTAGCAATAAAAAACAAAAACTTCATTTTCTAAGCTCATTAAAATCATTGTGTTGGCCTTTTGGTTTTGATGTGCAAATTCAGCGTGATCCAGAGAACATAAAATCATTGTCTTTAATCTGCTTTCTTGGAGAAACTTAAATCAGCATTAAGCTTAATTTTTACCTTATTATATTGTTTTCTAAGTCCCTTTGATGCTAATCTAAGTGTTTATGAGACAATGAGTGTTCTGTCATCTTCCACTAATGGCACTGGTTGGAAAAACACACTTGCCAGTTTCTGTGCCACCGATCAGGTGGCAGACTTGTGGCTCTGTTCTAGTTCTTGGGGTGAGACGAAGAGCTTTATGGCAACCCAATGTAAAGCTTTGGCATCAATAGCCACATGCATCGTGCTGCGATACCCACATAGAATTTTTTTAATTTTCATTGTAGAGGTTTGTGACATGATGGAGCCAGCAAAGAAGGTCAAAGAAAATAATTGTCAAAAGAGGAAAGGAAGAGAAAATGAGAATCCAATGAGGAAAGGATTTGCACAAGAATGAGTTTGGGTACCGTCTGTGTTCAGTTGTGAGACCTCAAACAAAAACAAAGAAAACAAAAAAGAAAACAAAACTGATGCAGACCTATAATTGGACTGTAAGTATCATATCTGCCAACCTCTGTTAGTGTTACTCTTATGACTTTAGTGATAGATTTTTAGCATGTGGAGCAAGGTGGAGAGGCTGAATCACCTTGTGAGAGCGAATGAAAAACTGTTTACTCGAGAGGAGGACTTACAGTTCACTGACAAAAGTGCCAGTTTGCAGCCAAAAGGCTGCTGTAACTGGTTTACATTAGATAATGTCCAATATTACCTCTTTAGAGATTTCATTATGATTTGCGTCCCCCAGCTGCTTACAGTGTAACAGCGCTGCAGGAGTGGGGTGTGCTGCTTGCAGAGGGCAGTCAGGGTTTACAAAAGTTCTATTTTCTGTAGGTCCTGTAGGGGGAAAGTGGTTCGAACATTTCTTAGTGCTGCTTTAAAGGTTTAAGGTCCAAACTTCCTGCTGTGTATATTTCCTCTACATTCTTGTGAGTGATAGCGGTGTACAATGAGATCCGTTTGTTCCTTGTAACCCTCCTCTAACCACTTAGTTGAGAAATGCAAATTAGAAAATCTCCAGAAACCAGAGCTGAGTGTTCTCAATAACTGATAATTGCTGGGTTCCAAAGAAACTGTCAATCAATTAGCTACGTTTACTCAGTGTTTTAATGTGTCTCTTTGATCATGCTTGGTTTTGGAACACATTTCAGTGTTGCTTCATTACTCGTGTTTCCCTTTATATAGGATAGAGACTAACAGGTCTTGAGTTCAAAACTTTAAAACTCATAAAAGTAAACAAAAAAAACAGAACCTAAACTTTCTTCATTAGATAGTTTTCATTATATGAAATGTGTGCAAAAAAATTTAAATCTAAATAAGTCCTGTTTTCTTAAAATAATTGCATTTTTCTTAAATTTAGGAAGTAAGTGAGGAATTTTGCTGATGGAATAAGACAATTTACATTTTAAATAAGAAAAAAACAATTGCATTGTCTTATTTCAAGTGCATATTATCTTATTTTAAGAGTAAAAATATTCAATTTGATATCTCATTTACCTACCCAAATTAAGGGTAAATACACTTCACTTTAGAAAAAAATGTACTTATTTCTAGATCGTTTTTCCAGTGCAGTTTTTTTTTTTTACTCAAAAAGGGATCATTTGAATGCCTTCCTTGTACCTTACACAAGGGTAAATGCCATAGGCTAAGGTCAAACATGGGAGTGGAAAGATCTAAAGACAGGGATTAAACTCTTTGAAATAATCTCTCATCAGTCATTGCCAAAACTGAACTTGCTTTATCTCGATTGTTTTTTTAAATTTAGATTCTTGTCTTGTCTTGTCTCCTCTTGTAGGCTGAATGTATAACTACACTCCTTGCAGGCCTATAGCACATTTTGCAATACCTATACATAAAAATGTGTGGTGATTTTATTAAAATCATGTTAACTCTTTGGATGCAGGTTCCAAAAAGAACACACTGCAGTTCAACAACAGGTTAGGGAGTTAGATTTAATTACTCAGGACTCCTATGATCAGAATCAAACAATGCCTTGAACTAATGCCAACCAATTTGGGACAACCAGCACTAATGTTTTCGCCTTTGTGTCGTTTATTAGAATTGTCACTCTGTCTGGAGTTGTTTGAGAGTATCTAAGAGAAATTATTTAGGCACTAATGCCACCATGTGGGAATAAACGTGTTCATCAAAAATAAATGCTGTTTTTTTGTATAGCTTATTAAATCTGTTTTCTGTTTTTTTCCAGATTTGTATTGTGCTCATAGAGAATGCCCAGTTGGCATTAGAGTGTGACAACATGAGATCCAGAGCTTCTGCCATCCAGGCCAGGTCAGCTGTATTTTACTTTTGTTTCCCTGAAACTTCAAATGCTCCTTTTTTTCCTTTTAATTTTTGCAGCCATGTAGATTTTATTAACAACAGTCTAAGCTATCAAAGCTAAAGTATCTAAACCCTGATAAACAATGAGTTTTTGTGAAAAGATTTACATTATTATAAATAAAAATGTTTAGCAGCGCTTGCCATCATTTCACTGAGAACGTATGAGCTACGCTTTGTTTACATCCTGATTTTCAGCCCGCAGTAACCTTACCCTTGTGTGAGCCAACCCACATACAAATCCGGTCAAGGCTTTGTGCAGCAACAGCACTTTCGCTTATGTATTGATGCAGAGCGACACCCAGCTCGCTGCCAACTGCCTCCACTATCAGCCATTAACTCATGAAGGACTGAGGCAGCTCCTTGTTCTTTTTATAGCTCTACCTAATGTGTTTCCTAAGCAGCTCCAGTGTCAGAGAGGCTCTGGACCTTGTTAACCACCCAGTTAAGACTTTGTCTGATAGTATTCTGTCTTTCTTTTTCTTTGAAGAACTAATTTATCAAAGCTTTTTGTGTTATAAGGAGCGAACTTGTTAAAATGTCAGTTTGTGATTGATAATCAGGTCTCAATATAGCAAAACTGCTGAAAACTTTCAATGATTTTATGTTCCTTTAATGATTGGTTTGATCACAAACACATTTGTACATTTGAATTTACTTGAAGCTGAAGACTTTTTTTTCTTTTCTGATACATCTTATCATATGCATCCCCCATCTGGTTTTAGGTGTGAAACAGAGGAAAGAACCACCAGGCGTCTTGAACAGCAAGTGGCTCTGCTCCGAGAGGCAAAGAGGGAGGCAGATGAAAGCAGTGTGACCCTGCAGGCCGAGTGCCACCGCTCCATGACAGAGCTGCAGCATATGGACCAGGAGTTTGAGGTCCGCCCCTCCCCTCTGAATTCTTTTTTCTTTCATGCCATCCTTTCTATCCTCTTTGAAGATGAGGCTTAAAACTGACAAGAGCAGCTTAAGTTCCTATAGCTATATTGCTCTGCCCTTAGGCATGTTAAACCACTTCACTGTTTGACACTCATCACTTTAATTTACGGTAAGCCCTTTTCTTTAGAAGATTTCTTCTTTTTAAAAGAGAGGTTCTTTTTTTTACTGTCCTCGCTTGCTTGTTCAGAATTAGAGTTATAGTTTTGGATTTCTACCTTTTCAATGTGGATCTTACGCTACTCATGTGCTACCCTATACAAAATAGGGGTGCAATGTAAGCCACAGATATGTCTCATCTTGTACTAAACACTTGTTTTTTGACTTCACACTTTTTAAGCAAAATAATGTTCAGAAGTCATTAGGGTTAGAAAAAGAAGAATAATTTTACCCTAAGGTGATACTATTTCCTTATCCTGTAACATTTTGTGAAGCTCTCCCCATAGTAGATATGATCTGACATAAATAAAGTCCAGAAACAAATAAATCCTGTTTAATGGATTCTTTTTAGGTCTCTTCTAAGAAGCAGGCATGATATCCATGTTGGGATTGATAACTTTTTTTTATGTCACTCAGTTGTTTTATTGATAGCTCAAGAAAATGAACTGGAAACAGTTATAGGTTATCAGAAGCCAAAGCCTGATTTATTTTGATCACATAAAGAGACAAACATTGCCAGACTCTATCTGGGTCCTGCAATAAGAACACAGAACACATTTATCCTGTTTAGCACATTCTCACCTTACAGTAGGCTGGACATAGGCACACACTGCAGTCTAATTGGCCATATCCGTGTTGTAGTCCGTGATCATCCGAATGCCTTTCCACATCCTCCTGGTGTTGCTGGTGTTGTTGAAAAGATCCTGGATCTTCTGGCTGTGGTTCTGCTTCGCTTATCTGATGGCATGGTTTAAGTTGGTACGCGCTGTTTTCTGTGTCTCATTATCACCAGACTTGAAAACTGAGTTCCATGCTTTTAGCAATTTCCGAACTACTCCGTTCATCTGGGGTGGTTGGTTGGCCCGGGTGGTGATGTTCTTTTTGATGCTGACGTCCTCGATGCATTTGTTGATTTGTTCCTGTAGTAATTTTACATAGTTGTCATTCAGCTGCATTTGGAAGGACATTGGATCTTATAGGGGGGAGTTAATTCGTCCATCCTTTCTTTTGTCTGTCTGTGTCCCATAGGATGGAAAAAGAAAGGCAAAAAACAAACTTGATTAACTCAAAAGGTTTTTTTGTTGTTTTGAGGTCAGGATGCTGTATAGACCTGTCAAGTCCCTCCTAACCAAAGTCAGGCCATGTCTGTCATAAGACAGGACAGATGGACCAAGTATTCAGGAGAGACAGACAGTGGGAAGTTTCCAGTGGGAAATGTTTAATGAAAAAATGGAACAAAACAGAAATGGAACTCAGGCTGCTGTGGATCCGCAACCTGCAGTGACTGCGGGGGAAGGCAGAGCCCATCACTGGCACTCTGGTTGTGTGAAAAACACAGGTAAGTGACCACAAGAATCTGACAGAAGATTATTATCTGTGTGAGTCACTTACCTGGTTTAACAGTTCAGTCCATCCTCTCATCAAAGGCAGGATCCAGCCGATGCACTGCCAGCAAGATGTGGCGCTGAGCCGTCCAGGGTGTCTCTGATGCAGCAACCCTAGTGAGCAGGCAGGAGACCAATCCAGGTCAGGGATATAGTTCAGAACAGGACCGTTCTGAGATCCAGGAGTCCATAACCTGGTCAGGGGTTCTGATCCAAACAGGAACAGATAGATCCAGGGAATCCAATGAGTGTTAAGGCAGGTTCCCAGTTCCATTAGTCAGGCAGCGAGCTCAGACAGACACGCTTAGATGGGACAGGCGGGCCCAGTGGTTGAGAGGAACAGAGACAAAACTGAGAGTGCTCCGTGGAGAATAGCCAGGACCTGAGCTCACGCCGAGCCAGTACAGAGAGGGCTCCGTGGACAAGAACCGGGACATGATCAGGGCCACGAGACACTAAACTGGTCCTCCAGTGTCAGGACATGAACAATAGCCTTAACTAAAAATCAAACCAAAACAAACATGAATAACTAATGATCTGGCCCCAATAGCTGGGCTGAACCGTATATCAAGCAGCGGGAGCAGGTGGATAAAATGTATGATAATTAGAGAGCGCGGAGGGTACAGCAGGTGAATGAGGTGAGTAATTAGATCAGCTACCGGGACTGCAATCATGACGATGTCTTTATGGACCTTGCTTTGCGCACTAACTTATCTCAGAACAAAAAGTGGTAATATCCAGCTTCTCTCACTAGAGCTGTGACTTTAAAACTGTTATTTGGTAATGCTGCACCATCTAGAGTTTCTTTAATGGTACCTAAGAGGCTGAGCCAAGCCCCTACATGTTTTACATCATTGCTTATTATGGTATGCATTGCACTTGGTCTACACCTATTGTGACTTTAGAAAGTTATAAATTTAATTCAATTTCAATTCAGTTTATCTATATAGCGCCAATTCACCACATATCATCTCAAGGTACATTAACCATTTAACCAGATCATACAGTCAAATTGATTCAAAGTTTTGTATCAAAGGAAAAGCAGTTGATTGCATCAACTCACTGACTCGAAGGCAATCCCTAAGACCTAGCATGCTTGTAGCGACAGTGGTGAGGAAAAACTCCCTTTTAACAGGAAGAAACCTCCAGCAGAACCAGGATCAGTGACAGTGCCCATCTGCTGAGGCCGACTGGGGTTCAAGGAGACAGAAGCAGACATACAGAAAAAGGCAGACATACAAAAGATAAACTCTCCATTCACTGACCTCTCACACAGAACATAAGAACATACTTCATAGTAAAGAAAAAACTCAAATCAAATTAAAAACAGCAGTCCATTTACGGAACAACAAAAAAACCTCTGCAAATAACAGAATGGATGTGCTTAATACTGATGGACAAGCCAGATGCTTTGCAAATAGCACATTCTGCTTTACTGAATGTGCTTTTTGATTGTCTTGAAGTGTTTTTTACCCCAGCCACTGTATCAGTTATTAAAGCACTTAAATAAGAACACATGCTACCTGTATTCAAAGAAAAGCACTAACAAGTGTTAGCATGCTGCTTTACCACATTAACAATGCAGCCTTAGTTTTGCTGATCTGGCAGTAAACTCCTGTAATTTGTGTTATGTTAAATAATTGCCCCTGCTCCTGTTAGAAGTGTTTTTTGATCCCTACATAACCCCCATTACATGCTTTTAGAATTACAGAGAGTTCCATTTCATATCCTTATTGTACTTATGTAATTATTACTGAGAACCCTGTTATCATGACAGGTGAAGAATGGATGACCTGCCTCAACCTTGACATAATAGACGTGTAATTATTGGGTGTGTGTGGGTGCATGTTTGAATGTAACGGTTCATAGCATCCTGTCATCTGGCTCACCTTCTCCTTTGCCTCTTTTTCCAGTAGTTTCTTTGCTTCTGGATTTTTATCTACTTCCTATTCCTCACCTGACCATGCTCCTCTTTAGATCTCATTTTTCTTTTATTAAACCTGTAATGTCAATATTCTTTTTAATATTTGTCTATATTTTCCTTTGCTATCCTTAACTGTTTGCATCATCTCCCTCTCTTCCCCCCTCCCTTCCTGTGTCCAGGCAGCCCAAGCTCTGCTGCTGCAGCGGGCCAGATCCTGTGATGCTCTGTTAGCAGCAGCAGCAGCAGGAAGGGAGGAGGAGGATGGCACAGGGATGGAGCTCACCCAGCTCCTCGACCAAATCAGGGTGCAGTGCGACCAGAGCAGACATACTGGCCTGCCTGAGAGGCTCCTTGGTTTGGGAACGGCTTCCGATCCAGCTGGTGGCTCAGTGGGGCCTGGCCGGTCTGAAAGTGGAGGAGCAGCAGCTTTCAGAACACACAGAGGAGCTCTTACTGAGGTACGCATTCACTCCCACACCCTCATCCATCATTTTACTGTCTTGATTTTCTGGCATTAATCCAGCAAGACACACCCTTAGGACAAATATCAGCCCAAACAGATGGAGGGACATCTTCGATTAAAGGGTTTCAGGTTGAAAATGGCTAACACTCTGTCGTTCTCTCTGTCATCATTGGTTGTATCATTACTTCTTGTGGGTTTGTGTATAACTTAAATACAAATATTGTTTTAAGAACTACAAGCTATTACAGTGTTAGTCTAAGGGAAAAATCATATCTGATCTCCAAACAAAATGTTTGAGTCAAATTTGTCTTATAATGCCAGCAGATATTGCAACCCTTTAGCCAAGCATGTTTCTATTTTCAACTTTTCAATAAAGAAAACTCAGTCTGGGATCCTTTTATATTACTCAAGCAATATTTAAATCATGGTGTGGTAGTCGGACGTTCATGATGAAGTAGATTCTCCAAAAATCTGTTGAATCAGGGAAGCTTTTCTTAGATGCCGTTTTTTACAGCAGAATGGCTCCGATGGCTCCTCCAACGTAACTGTTACACTTTCCTGCAGTCAAAAACCCGCATGCCAAGTTCAGCAGAGATCACACTATTTATTATTATGGGATATTATCAGATTTTTCAAACTTAGCTGCCAAAATCTTTCATCTTTCTGGGACCCTTTTATTTGTTTTTCGTCTGTTGCTGATAAGGAACATTTTGAAAATGTCACCAAATTATCCAACAGGTCAAAATGAAGCCCACTTTAAGGTTATCTATCCATCATCGTTTTTACAACTCTGCCCATTATTTTTACTAAGCTTGAATCTCATGTAAAATTAAAACAAATAGAGAATTAGCAGTTTCAAAATGTCAGACTTTTGCTCAGAGCACAGCACAACAGCCACATATATAATGGCCAGTTATAGCAAAGACCATAGCAACAGTCTACAACTGAAATTAGAGTTAATAAAGTAATAATTAGATGGCAGACTTAACAAATAGATTAAAATAAGTGCTTAAGATCAGTTGCTTTGAGACCCAAGAGCCCCTTTACTTGCCAAGGAAACTTGGCAAGTAAAGCCAAGTTTCCTTGTTTGGGGTCAGCTTAGAAAGCTGACCCCAAACAATCCTCAACATTAGTCACGGACCACATGACCATGGGCAAAAATTAAATGAACACTACACTAATGTTGTACACTTACCTGATCAAATATATTTTTGGTTCTCTGATGTAGGATTTAATCTAGACAGGTTAATGTGGTCTTGTCTTTACAAGTATGACTATGGTTACGTTCACATTGCAGACAAATCTTAGCCTGACGTAGTCCTACTCAATTCTAGTCAGAATATGAGTCTGACTAGTCTTTCTCTGTTCCTCTTTTAAAATTAATTTGCTGTCGATATCTTCTAGAACAGACCTAATAGCAGAATCTACTCACCTAAACTCTCCAGCGGCAGCCATTATTGTTGTCACCCAAGCGCGCATTGGTCACGTGGTTGATTACGTTACTCTTGATCATCTGTCCATCATCGTATAAAGCCCGCCCTGACAATTTGATTGGATCGCACTGACAGTGGGCGATAATACTCGCGCTTCTAT